AGGCCTCTATCATCTCCATAAAGTTATTTTTAAGGGCACTTTCTCCTGCTTCTTCTACGTTGTGATGTCCAGGTTTTGCTGTTGTAGAACTACTAAGTTCTGGTGATGCCACATTTTTATGTTCTTGTATGTATTTTTGCATTGGTGTCTACCCATCTCTTTCTCCAAGAGGTGCAAGAGGTGCTTGTGTCTGAGTGAGCTGCTATTGGTCCAATCTGTGCTTGCTGTGTCTGTATCTCAGGGTCTCCTCTAGGTCCAAACTTAACTCTTGGTCTAATTGGAGCTGTCAGATTCTGTATTTCAGGGAGCTGCTCTTGGTCCAATCCTAGCTAGCTGGTTCTGTGGCTCAGGGTGCTCAGGGCTCTTGGTCCAGTCAGAGTTGGCAGATTCTGTGTCTCAGGAAGCCTCTCTTGGTCCAATGTGAGCTGGTGGATTCCATGTCTCAGGAAGCCACTGTGGTCGCAGGAGGATGGGTATTGGCATAAGGCATGGTCTTGTAGTTTTCAGGGTCCATTGGGGGATTTTGGTGAGGGAGCCTGCCTGCTGGAGTTTTCCCTGCTGGCCAACAATTGGGGCAGTGATGGGTGGGGGTTCCAGGGGACTGGTTATGTCCCAGGGACTGGGTCCTAGATGCAGGACTCTCTAGGTTGGAGAAGAGTCACTCACCTCTAGGTTCAATGAGAGCTGGTGGATTCTGTGTCTCAGGAAGCCCCTGGGGTCTTAGGGGCATGTGTATTGAGGTAGGGCATGGGTCTTATAGATTGCAGGGTCCAATGGGGGGTTTTGGTGGGGGAGCCTGCCTGCAGGAGTTTTCCCTGCTGGCTGGCAACTGGGGAAGAGATGGGTGGGGGTTCCCAGGCCTGGTTATGTCCCAGGGCCTGGGTCCTAGAGGCAGGACTCTCTCTAATTTTATAATTTTCCACCTTCTTAAGGAAAAAGTTAGAACAATTTTAAGTGAAAACAAAAAATAGTTTCTTTTTTTCCTTTCAATTTTAGTTCTCCTTAGCTTTGGTATGATGGTTTCTTCTTTCTTTATCATTAAAAAGCTGGGCATGACACATAAAAAGCTGGGCAACACATGGGAGGTAAGGCCAGGAGAATCAGTTTAAGGTCAGTTTCAGCTACATAATGAATTCAAAGCCAGTGTATACTACTTAAAATCTTGTCTTTAAAAATCAGAATAAGAGGGCTGGAGAGATGGCTCAGAGATTAAGAGCACTGGCTGCTCTTCCAGAGGTCCTGAGTTCAATTCCCAGCACAAACATTTATAGTGGGATCTGATGCCCTCTTTTGGCATAAAGTTGTATATGCAGATAGTGCACTCATTCATAAAATAAATAAATCTTTAAAAACAGGCTAAAACACTGCTTTAGATAGTTAATAAATTTTCTTTGATTTCCTCATCAAGATAACTGTATTTTTTAAGGTTTTAAGTAACCAAGATGTTCACAGTGAGTTATTATTATTTAGTCCTAATTTTATTGGATGATGAAAGAATGCATCTTGTAAAACTCTTTATTTAAATATTTTTAGTACAGAAAAATATAGCATTATTTTGAAGAAAATGAAGATTCATGCATGTGCATTAAAATTTATTACTAATATTTATTATATTTTATTGAAATCCCTGTCTTTGCTTATCATCTCTTTTAGATCTGCTTGATAATGAAAAGAAGTTTGAATTTGCCCATTATGGTCTTATTTTTCTCAAGCTCTAAATATATTTGTAATAATTTTGCTACACATATATAGCTCAGTAAATATGGTATTAATACTTTATACCTTCAGAAATATTGCCTTTTACTATTATGTGATAGTTCTCTCTATCCTGTTTAGTCTTCTTAACTTGTCTTCAATCTTACATCTCATATTATTAGTTGTTAATTATCTCCCTTACTTCAGTTCCATTCACCAGGTGGTTTTGACTGAAATTTGAGGTGTTTACTATTTGAATTAACATTACTTCTCTTATGATCTTTAGGAATTCCAGCTAATAATGTTGTCTTTGCTTGAAAATAAGCATTGTTAATTTAATATACTTTATGTTACAAAAGAAAATAATTAAGGATACAAAGAACAATGAAGAGTGTCAATATTTATAACATACATTGAAAAATTAGAATATTTAAATGAACTGGAAGGAATTGTGTAAGAGTAGGAAGAAATTCTACAAAGAATTTTATTTACAGAAGTTGATAGTACATAACAAATAATAATGTTTTCATTCTAATCACTTAAGAACTCTGCATGTTACAGCTTTCTGACAAATTTGTACCTAACTTGAAAATTATTTTCTAGTTGTTAGTCTTGTCTCTTTCTACTATATATATGTTTTTGAATAATAAAAACTTACTCATTAATGGGGCTTTCTCTAAAGGTATGATCTGTTTCATGAAACAAACACAAATTTTATATCATTTCATATGCGTATTCTTTAAATTCATTAAAATATTCATTGTAAAAATAGGTGATTATGGCTGTGTGTGGTGGCACACACATTTAATATCAGCACTCAGAGAAGGGAGGCAGAGTCAGGTGAATCTCTAAATTCTAGACCAGTCAAGAACACACAGTAAGACTTTGTCTCAAAAAATATTCTTACTTCCTACAAGTGGGCCATCCAAGTTGTTTGCTGTGACTTTTTCACCTTGCTGTTCGTCTCCAACAGATTTGCAAGCTTGTGAAAATAATGGTAGTTGTAACAAATTATGTGGACAAAATAACCTGAAAACAAGAGAAAGAATAAAAGCATAAACTAAATGTGTCAGTACAGTAATGCCATTTATGTGTGTACCCATTACAAATGAAGAAGACTTCAAATTAAAGGTAAATGAGTATAAATAAAGGGATATTTAATTATTCATTAAATAAATTTGATCGAGTACTTGTTACATAACAAAAACTGTACTGGGTGCTGAAGGCATGACAGTGAACAAAAATGTTAGAATAAAAAGGTTCCTTCCCATAGTTTTATTGTATTTGAGACAGAAAATAACCAAGAAAAGTATTTTTGTGATGTTAGTGATTAGGGGTAAAGAAACGAACATCAAGGAATGGGATATGATATGCTTTTCAAAATTACACATTCATTTATTTTGTGAGGGGAATATATACATGTGTGCCATGGCACATGTGTGAAGGTCAAAGGACAACTTGCAGGGAGTCAGTTCTCTCCTTCTACCATGTGGGCTCTGGAAATTGAACTCAGGATGTCTGATTTGGTAGCAAGTACCTATAAACACTGAAATATCTCACCACAGGCTTAGGATGAAATTTGTTTATGGAAATCTGTCCAATAATGAGAGATGTGGTTTGAAATAACTCATTATAATGGTAATTTATCAAATTGTCTGTGTATTTCTAAGGGTATTTTTTAAAGTATATTTAGGTTAATGCATGACATAATTGAATTTTGTATAGGAAAAGCTGAGAGGGGTACTTGTAAGTTAAAAACAAACTATGAGACAGTGAACAACAGAAGGATGATGGGTCATGAGTAAAAGCCTCAAGGAAAGAATATGCATGGTATAAAGAACATAGAGGAAAACACTGTGCCTGGAATTGCAATGATCAAAAGGATCATAAAGGCAACTGTAGAGTGGGTATGGATAGATCATTGAGGGACTTTTTAAGGATTCTGGCTATTATTCTGAGACAATCATCTCAGCCAATGTCATTAAGATGGAGAAGTCATTGGATGGATTTGAATAGAGAATAGATATAATGTAGGCTATATTAATAAAGTCATTATGCTGTATAAAGAATAGCCTACAGTAAGTATGGGAGAAGCAATAACTCAATAGAATAACCAAAAGAATATTAGAAGTCTTCTATATCGAGCTGAAAATATGGTTACTAACACAAATTTATTGTCTCCCGCCTCTACGACCTAGGACCTGGGACATAGTCAGGCCCCGGGAATCAATACCCATCTCTGCCACAGATGCTGACCAGAAGGGAAGACTCCTGAGGGCAGGTTCCCCCACCAATACCCACCATCAGATCTTGCAATCTACAAGACCCACACCCTACTCCAAACAAACCCATCATCCTGCAACCCCAGTGTCTTCCTGGGACATGGAATCTGCCAGCTCTCATTGGACCAAGAGATCTCATTGGACAGTGAGCTCTCATTGGACCAAGAGAGAATTTCTGAGACACAGAATCCACCAGCTCTGACTGGACAAAGAGCCCTGATAAGACCAAGAGCAGCACCCTGAGACACAATCAGCCAACTTGAATTGGACCAAGAGCAGCTCCATGAAACACAGAATCTGACAGCTCCAATTAGACCAAGAGCTAAGATTGAATCAATAGTAGTCCCCTGAGACACAGACACAGCAAGCACAGACTGAAACAATAGCAGCTCGCTCAGACACAGGCACCTCTTGCACCTATTGGAGGAAGAGATGGAAAGACACCAGTGCAAAAATACATACAAGAACATAAAAATGTGGCATCACCAGAACCTAGTAGTTCTACAACAGCAAAACCTGGACATCACAACGTAGAAGAAGCAGGAGAAAGTGCCCTTAAAAATAACTTTATGGAGATGATAGAGGCCTTCAAAGTAGAAATGAAAAATTCCCTTAAAGAAATTGAGGAAAATACAAACAAAAAATTGGAAGAAATCAACAAATCCCTTAAAGAAAGCCAAGAAAACCATGTGAAAAAAGCAATTAAACATGTGAAGGAAACAGTTCAAGACCTGAAAAGTGAAACAGAAACAATGAAGAAGACACAAACAGAGGGAATGCTGGAAATAAAAAATCTGAGTAAATGAACAGGAAATAGAGATGTAAACATAACCAACAGAATTCAAGAGATGGAAGAGAGAATCTCTGGTGTAGAGGATACAATAGAGGAAATAGATTTGTCAGTCAAAGAAAACACCAAAGCCAAAAAAGTCATAACATAAAATGTCCAGGAAATCTGGGACACCATGAAGAGGCCAAACCTAAGAATAATAGGGATAGAAGTAGGAGAAGAATACCAACTTAAAGGCACAGAAAATATATTCAACAAAATCATAGAAGAAAACTTTCCCAATTTAAGGAAGGAAATACCTATGAAGACACAAGACGCTTATAGAACACCAAATAGACAAGACCTCCCCCCAAAAGTCCTCCCACCACATAATAATTAAACCATTAAACATACAGAATAAAGAAAGAATATTAAAAGCAGCAAAGGAAAAAGGCCAAGTGACTTATAAAGGCAGACCCATTAGAAACACACCCAACTTCTCAATGGATACTCTGAAAGCCAGACTGTCTGGGGCAGATGGAATGCAGACACTAAAAGACCATGGATGCCAACCTAGACTGATATACCCAGAAAAACTTTCAATCACCATGGATGGAGTGAACAAGACAATCCAAGACAAAACCAGATTTGAACAATATCTATCCACAAATCCAGCCCTACAGAAAGCACTAGAAGGAAAATTCCAACCTAAGGAATTCAGATACACCCTTGAAAACACAGGCAATAGATAATCCCACAGCAGTACATCTCAAAGAAGGGAAATACATACACACACACACACACACTACAACCAAAAGATAGCAGGAATTAACTGGTTATAAATGTCCGTTAATATCAATGGGCTCAATTCACCTATAAAACGGCATGGGCTAACAGAATGGATATGAAAACAGGATCCATCCTTTTTCTACATACAAGAAACACACCTCAACTTCAAAGGCAGACATTACCTCAGAGTAAAAGACTGGGAAAAGACTTTATAATCAAATGGACTTAAGAAGCAAGCTGGTGTAGATATCCTAATATCTATCAAAATTGACTTCAAATTAAAATCAATCAAAAGAGATCAGGAAGGACATTCTATACACATCACAGGAAAAATGCACCAAGATGAAGTCTCAATTCTGAACATTCATGTCCCAAGTATAAGGGCACCCACATTTGTAAAAGAAACATTACTGAAGCTTAAATGACACTTCAAACCCCACACATTAATACTGGGAGACTTCAACACGCCACTCTCACCAATGGACAGATCTTCCAGACAAAAACTTAACAGAGAAATAAGGGACCTAACAGATGTTATGACTCAAATGGACTTAATCAATATCTACAGAACATTCCACCCTAACAAAAAAAAATATGTTCTTCCCAGCAACCCATGGAACCTTCTCTAAAACCACATATTTAGTCACAAAGCAAATCTAAAAAAAAAAATGGAATAACCTCCTGTATTTTATCAGACCACCATGACTTGAAGTTAGATTTCAACAACAATAAAAATTACAGAAAGCCTACAATCTCATGGAAACTGAATAATGCTTAACTGAATCACTAAGGTGTCAAGGAAGAAATAAAGAAAGAAATTAAACACTTCCTAGAATTCAATGAAAATGAATGTACTACATACCCAAACTTATGGAACACTATGAAAGCACTGCTAAGAGGAAAATTCATAGTACTAAATGCCCACATAATGAAACTGGAGAAATCTCACACCAGTGACCTAACAGTACACCTGAAATCTCTAGAACAAAAAGAAGCAACCTCACCCAGGAGGAATAAACACCAGCAAATAATCAAATTGAGAGTTTAAACCAATAAAATAGAGACAAAGAGAACAATACAAAGAATCAATGAAACAAAGAGTTGGTTCTTTGAGAAAATCAACAAGATAGACAAGCCCTTATCCAAACTAAACAAAAAGGCAGAGAGAGCAAGAGAGAGCATCCAAATTAACAAAATCAGAAATGAAAAGGGAGATATAACAACAGACAATGAGGATATCCAGAGAATGCTCAGGTCATACTTCAAAAACCAGTACTCCACAAAATTGGAAAATCTAAAAGAAATGGATAATTTTCTGGATAGGTACTCCATACCAAAGTTAAATCTAGACCAGATAAACAATTTAAATAGACCAATAACCCCTAAGGAAATAGAAACAGTCATTAATAGTCTCCCAACCAAAGAAAGCCCAGGACCAGATGGTTTCAGCACAGAATTCTACCAGATTTTCAAAGAAGAACTAATACCAATACTCTTCAAAGTGTTCCACACAATAGAAACAGAAGGAACCCTACCAAACTCCTTTTATGAGGCTACAGTTACTCTGATACCCAAACCACACAAAGATGAAACAAGGAAAGAGAATTACAGTCCAATCTCCCTCATAAACACTGATGCAAAAATACTCAATAAAACATTGGCAAACAGAGTCCAAGAACACATCAAAAAATTATCCACCATGACCAAGTAGTCTTCATCCCAGGGATGCAATGATGGCTCAATATATGAAAATCTGCCAATGTAATACACCATATAAACAAACTGAAAGAAAAAAGCCACATGATCATCTCATTAGATGCTGAGAAAGTCTGTGACAAAATCCAACACCCTTTCATCATAAACGTCCTGGAGAGATCAGGAATACAAGGAACATACTTAAATATAATAAAGGCAATTTAGAGCAAGCCAACAGCCAAATTAAATGGAGAGAAACTCAAAGCAATTCCACTAAAATCAGGAACAAGATAAGGCTGTCTGCTCTTTCCATATTTATTCAATATAGTACTTGAAGTTCTAGCTAGAGCAATAAGAAAAACAAAAGGAGATCAAGGGGATGAAATTTGGAAAGAAAGAAGTAAAACTTTCCCTATTTGCAGATGATATGATGGTAAACATAAGTGACCCCAAAAATTCTACCAGGGAACTCCTAAAGCTGATAAACACCTTCAGTAATGTGGCAAGATACAAGATTAACTCACAAAAACAGTAGCCTTTCTATACACAAATGATAAATGGGCTGAGAAAGAAATCAGAGAAACATCACCCTTTACAATAGCCACAAATAATAGAAAATACCTTGGGATAACCCTAACTAAACTAGTGAAGGACCTGTATGACAAGAACTTTAAGTCTCTGAACAAAGAATTCGAAGAAGATATCAGAAAATGGAAAGATCTCCCATGCTCATGGATAGGCAGGATTAACATAGTAAAAATGGCAAATTTACCAAAATCAATCTATAGATTCAATGTAATCCCATCAAAATCCCCACATAATTCTTCACAGACCTGGAAAGAGCAATACTCAACTTCATCTGGAAAAACAAAAAACCCAGGGTAGCCAAAAGAATCTTGTACAATAAAACAACCTCTGGAGGCATCACGATCCCTGACTTCAAGCTCTACTATAGAGCTATAGTAATAAAAACAACATGGTACTGGCATAAAAACTGACATTTGGACCAATGGAATTGAATTGAAGACCATGACATTAAATCCGCATACCTATAAACACCTGATTTTTGACCAAGAATCCAAATCTGTACAATGGAAAAAAAGAAAGCATCTTCAACAAATGGTGCTGGCATAACTGGATGTCAACTGTAACACGAGTCTTAAAAGGTGTTATTAATAAAAACAAACATGGGGTCAGGTATTTGGTTAAATTCTGAAAGATCAGAGAGACAGAAAAAGTCACAGCTAACTCACCTCACCAACTTCTCAGCTGATCCCGTTTCCTCAGACTGGAAGCCTCTGAGTCCTTATCCAAATGGATCTCAGCTGAACTGCTTCTAAAAGCCTAAAAGCTTAAAAGCCTAAAAGCCTCTCCTTCCTGGTCCTCACACCTTATACTTTTCTGCTTCCTGCCATCACTTCCTGGGATTAAAGGTGTGTGTCTCAATGCCTGGATGTTTCCAGTGTGGCCTTGAACTCAGATCAGATCTCTGCCTCCCAAGTGATAGGATTAAAGGTGTGTGTGTGCCACCATTTTCTGGCCTCTATGTCTATCTAGTGGCTGTTCTGTTCTCTGACCCCAGATAAGTTTATTATGGTGCACAGTATATTGAGGGACAAAAGATCACCACAGTCAAGATGTAAAAGATTGCAAATAGATCTGTATCTATCACTATGCCCCAAATTCATGTCCAAGTGGATAAAAGACCTCAACATAAATCCAGTTACACTAAACCTACTAGAAGAGAAAGTAGGAAGTAGCCTTGAACCCATTGGCACAGGAGACCACTTCCTAAATATAACACTAGTAGCACAGACACTGAGAGCAACAATTAATAAATGGGACCTCCTGAAACTTAGAAGCTTCTGTAAGGCAAAGTAAATTGTAAATGAGACAAAACAACAGCCTACAAAATGAGAAAAGATCTTCACCAACCCCACATCTGACAGAGGGCTGATCTCCAAAATATATAAAGGAAACAAACCAATTAAAAAATGGGCCATAGAGCTAAACAGAGAATTCTCAACAGAAGAATCCGAAATGGCTGAAAGACATCCTTAGTCATCAGGGAAATGAAAATCAAAAGTACTCTGAGATACCATCTTACATCTGTCAGAATGGCTAAGATCAACAATAATAAAGACAGCTTATGTTGGAGAAGATGTGGAGCAAGGGGTACACTCCTCCACTGTTGGTGGGAGTGCAAACTTATGTGGCCATGTTGGAAATCAGTATGGCAGTTTCTCAGAAAATTAGGAATCAATCTTCCTCCAGACCCAGCTATATCAATCTTGGGCACATACCCAAGGGATGCTCAATCATACCACAAGGACACATGCTCAACTATGTTCATAGCAGCCTTATTCATAATAGCCAGAACCTGGAAACAACCTAGATGCCCCTCAACTGAAGAATGGATAAAGAAAATGTGATACCTATACACAATGGAGTACTACTCAGCAGTGAAAAACAATGCCATCATGAAATTTGCAGGCAAATGGATGGGACTAGAAAAGATCATCCTGAGTGAGGTAACCCAATCTCAGAAGGACAAAGATGATATGTACTCACTTATAAGTCGATACTAGATATAAATCAAAAGATAACTAGACTACAACCCACAGCTCCAGAAAAGCTACCTAACAAGGAGGACCCTAAGAGGGATGCATGGATTGCCCTGGGAAGGGGAAATAGATGAGATCTCCTTGAGTAAACTGGGCATGAGGTTTGGGCAATGGAGGTTAGAGGATGTGGGATGAGAACATAAAGGAATGGGATGGTCGAACTAGAACAGGGAAGGAGTGGGAGAGCAATGAAAGTGATATCTTGATAGAGAGAGGAGCCATTATGGGGTCAGGAAGAATCCTGGTGCTAGGGAAAATCTCAGAAATCCACAAGGACGACCCCAGCATAGACTACAATCAATAGTGGAGAGGGTCCCTGAACTGGCCCATTAATCAGATTGGTGAATACCCTAACTGTCACCATAGAGCCTTCATCCAGTATCTGATGGAAGCAGATGCAGAGATCATAGCCAAGCACCAGGCTGAGCTCCAGGAGTTCAGTGGAAGAGAGAGAGGAGGTTCAAGATCATGATGGGGAAATCTACAGAGACAAGCTACTGAACCAAGCTCAAAGGAACTAATGAACTTTAGAGCGACAGCTATAGAACTTCCATGGGACTGGACTAGGCCATCTGCATACGGGAGACACTTGTGTAGCCAGGTCTGTTTGAGGGGCCCCTGGCAGTGGGATCAGGATTTATCCCTGGTGCATGAGCTGGCTTTTGGGGGCCCATTACCTATGGTTGAACACCTTGCTCATACTAGATTCAGGGGGAAGGACTTGATCCTGCCTCAACTAAATGTTCCAGGCTTTGCTGACTCCCCATGAGAGCCCTTACCCTTTTGGAGGAGGGGATATTTCGGTGGGGGGGGGGAGGCTGGAAGGTAGTGGGAGGAGTGATGAGTGGAGGATCTGTGGGTGGTATGTAAAATGAATAAAAACAATTTCTTAAATTAAAAAAACAATTGACATAAAAAAGATATTTATTAGCTTACCTATAAGAAGACAGTATGTCATTTTTCAATTCCAAAGAAGCTAAATGCTGTTTTAGTGCTTCAATTAAACTGTGTGGTACCTAAAATATTATTATAAAATATTTGTTCTTTCATATACTTAACAAATGTATAATCTATCTTATAAAATGATTAATAAGGCAATTCTATAAATATTATTGCTACATGTAAAATCATTATTAAAAGCATCATGTTATAAAATCAGAATTTATTTTTAAAAATAATTTATTTTATGTACATTGGTGTTTTGCCTGCAGGTATGTCTGTATGAGGGCATAGGATTTCCTAGAAGAGGAGTTACAGACAGTTATGAGCTGCCATGTGGGTGCTGAGAATTGAACCCTGGTCCTCTGGAAGAGAAACAGTGCTCTTAAAGACTGAGCCCTCTCTGCAGACCCATAATATCTGATTTTCAAATCAGGCTTTGAAATACTTTTTTATGGCCGTGTCCCAGACCCCAACATGGGTGGAGATCCCCCTGCTCATAGCTAATAGACATATCAGAGGTGCAGCAGGTGGCAATTAATACTCAGGTGTCAGCCCACTAGAAGTTTAACTCTCTAAAGGGAATGTCTTGGTCAAGCAAGGTTTATGAGATTGACTCCAGAGTATCTTTTGCTTCTGTTGTGCCTTTGGTATCTGATATTATGTATATGGTATGGGGAATTCTCCACTATCTGTACTGTAATGTGTCTATCTCAATCTTATGGGCATTTATATCTATGGACTATCTAGAAGATGACTCCTTAAGTTGTATTGTCCATTTGATATCTATAATGTTAGCTTACACAGAGTTTGATAACTAAATATGGATTCAAAGAAATATTACACAAGCCAGGAATTATAAGTACCTGAGAACTGCTTTGTATCATAGCTCAGGCTGACTTAGGAAAATAGTCATGTTTTCAGCTACTAAAACAGCTTTTCTACCATTAGCTGATTTAAAGCCTCAAAGTAAGTTCAGATTAGACCAGGTTCCCTGCTAACTGATTTTAAGGTAGATATTCCCCAGGGAAAAAACAGTCCAATTCACAAGGACATAGTGAGCTATCTGGCTAGGACATAAATACAAAAAAGACCAATTGTTGTTAGCTGACAAATGAGTAAGTCCTTACACCCATTCCTGACCTCAAATTGTGAAAAATATATTCTGACTAGCTAAAGCTACAGAAAAACTTGATTCTGTAGCCCCTAATGAGGGATGCAGGTGTTCTCAGATCATTAAAAGTTACATACAGGACAAAAAGTAAATTTTAAGATTTAAGCATGATATTGTCATAGTATCTTGAAGAATACAGACTTAAGCTAAAAGACAAATGGTTTCTCAGGAATGCTGGCTTGAGCCTTAGAAGAATTATGGGCTCATTGCCTGAAGACTCAACACTCGCCAGTTACCCATTAATTGCTGGGAGTTAGTACAAATGTTTACATAGTCTTGGTTTCTTGTCATTTACTTAAGAAATGGAATGTAACCCTCAAATGTAACTCCTGAATTTGCATGAACGTTTCTGTTGGATATATGTAGCTGTAAAGAACAAAGAGATAAGGACCAATGAGAAAGAACGTCATGAATGCTACAGGATTATGAGATTCAACATGAGAAAATAAAGACAGTAACCTTCAAAATGTGAGTTTTTTCCCTAGTCCCTCAAAAGCCCTCAGATGAAATAGTCTTAGCTTCACAATGCCATGGATTCCTTGCAAGCCCTGTGTGCAGCCTTGGAGCTGGTTATCTAAGACTGCAATATCCCCCCCATTCAATCAGAGGCCACGCAGGCCACCAGAAGTCCAGTGTCCAAATCGAGTGGAGACCCTCTGCTCAGTCACAGGCTACACCAAACAAAGGATCAGAAAGGAAACAGAAAGCAAGGAACAAAATACACATCCAACACAGACAAACCCAGAAATCAGCGCCTAGACCTATAATCACCCCAAACTGAGATTTATAGATGAAAGCTTAAAAACAAAAACAACAGTCAAGGCAATATGTTACCACCACCAAAGCCTAGCTATCCTGCAACTGTGAAACCTGAATATTCCAGCACAGCTGAAACACAAGAAAAAGAGACCTTAAAACCAACTTTATGAAGATGATAGAGGCCCTTAAAGAGGAAATGAATAGATCCCTTCAAGAAAAGCAAGAACAAACAAACAAATATTTGAAGGAAACAAATAAAACTGCTCAAGACCCAGAGATACAGGGATGGTTCAATATACGAAAATCTGTCAATGTAATCATATAAACAAACTGAAAGAAAAAAAACCACATGATCATCTCATTAGATGCTAAAAAAGCCTTTGACAAAATCCAACATCCCTTCATTATAAAGGTCTTGGAGAGATCAGGAATACAAGGAACAAAAGGCAATTTACAGCAAACCAACAGCCAACATCAAATTAAATGGAGAGAAACTCAAAGTGATTCCACTAACATTAGGACCAAGACAAGGCTGTCCACTCTCCCCATATTTATTCAATATAGGACTCAAAGTTCTAGCTAGAGCAATAAGACAACAAAAGGAGATTAAGGGGATAAAAAGTGGAAAGGAAGAAGTCAAACTTTCCCTATTTGCAGATGATGTGATAGTATACCTAAGTGACCCCAAAAATTCTACCAAGGAACTCCTACAATTGATAAACACCTTCAGTAATGTGGCAGGATACAGGATTAACTCAATCAGTAGCCCTTTTATATACGAATGATAAACGAGCCGAGAAAGAAATCAGAGAAACATCGCCATTTACAATAGCCACAAATAATAGAAAATACCTTGGGGTAACTCTAACTAAGCAAGTGAAAGTCCTGTATGACAAGAAATTTCAGTCTTTGAAGAAAGAAACTGAAGAAGATATCAGAAAATAGAAAGATCTCCCATGCTTATGGATAGGTAGGATTAACATAGTAAAAATGGCAATCTTACCAAAAGCAATCTACAGATTCAATGCAATCCCCATCAAAATCCCAACACAATTCTTCACAGACATGGAAAGAGCAATACTCAACTTCATCTGGAAAAACAAAAAACCCAGGATAGGCAAAATAATCCTGTGCAATAAAGTCATCTCTGGAGGCATCACAATCCCTGACCTCAAGCTCTACTATAGAGCTACAGTAATAAAAACAGCTTGGTATTGGCATAAAAACTGACATGTGGACCAATGGAATCGAATTCAAGATCCTGACATTAACCCATACACCTATGAATACCTGATTTTTGACAAAAAAGCCAAATCTGTACAATGGAAAATAGAAAGCATCTTCAACAAATGGTGCTGGCATAACTGGATGTCAACATGTAAAAGATTGCAAATAGATTCATATCTATCACCATGCAAAAAAACCAAATCCAAGTAGATCAAAGACCTCAACATAAATCCAGTTACATTGAACTTGATAGAAGTGAAAGTAGAGAGTAGCCTTGAACCCATTGGCACTGGAGACCACTTCCTAAATATATCATCAGTAGCATAGACACTGAGAGCAACAATTAATCAACGGGACCTCCTGAAACTTAGAAGCTTCTGTAAGGCATAGTACACTGTAAATAAGACAAAACAACAGCCTACAAAATGGGAAAAGATCTTCACCAATCCCACATCTGGCAGTGGGCTGATCTCCAAAATATATAAAGAAATCAAGAAACATAAAACATAGACATAAAAATAGCAAATAATCCAATTTAAAAATGGGCTATAGATCTAAATATAAAATTCTCAACAGAAGAATCTAAAATGGCTGAAAGACATTTAAGGAATTGCTCAGCATCCTTAGTCATCAGGGAAATACAAACCAAAAGGACTCTGAGATACCATCTTACACCTGTCAGAATGGCTATGATCAAAAACACTGAAGACAGCTTATGTTGGAGAGGATGTGGAACAAGGGGAACACTCCTCCACTGTTGGTGGGAGTGCAAACTTGTACGGCCACTTTGGAAATCAATATGGAAGTTTCTCAGAAAATTAGGAATCAATCTACCTCAAGACTTAATGATACCACTCTTGGGCATATACCCAAGGGATGCTCAATCATACCATAAGGACACTTGCTCAACTATGTTCATAGCAGCATTGTTTGTAATAGCCAGAACCTGGAAACAACCTAGATGGCCCTCAGCCGAAGAATGGATAAAAAAAAATACGGTACATATACACAATGGAGTATTACTCAGCAGAGAAAAACAATGAAAGCATGAAATTTACAGGCAAATGGATGAAACTAGAAAAAATTATCCTGAGTGAGGAAACCCAGACTCAGAAAGACAAAGATGGTATGAACTCACTCATAAGTGGATACTAGATGTAAAGCAAAGGATATTCAGACTACAACCCACAGCTCCAGAGAAGCTAGGTAACAAGGAGGACCCTAAAAGGGATGTACAGATTGCCTTGGGAAGGAGAAACAGAGGAGATCCCGACGAGCAAACTGGGGATGGGGGGGGCAATAGAGGGTAAGAAATGGGGGAAGGGGAAGGGGATGGTTGAGCTGGGGGAGAGACAGAGTGGGAGAGCAATGAAAGAGATATCTTGATAGAGGGAGACATTATGGGATGAGGGAGAAACCTGATGCTAGGGAAATTCTCAAAAATCCACAAGGATGGCCCCAGCCTAGACTACTAGCCACAATGGTGAGGGTGCCTAAACTGGCACATCCTGGTAATAAGATTGGTGAATACCCTGTCATCATAGAGCCTTCATCCCGTAACGGATGGAAGCAGATACAGAGATCCATAACCATTCACCAGGCTGAGCTCCAGGAGTCCAGTGGAAGAGAAGGAAGAAGGATTATATGAGCAAGGGGGGGGGTCAAGATCATGATGGGGAAATCTACAGAGAAAACTGAACCAAGCTCAAAGAAACTTACGAACTTTAGAGTGACAGCTGTGGAACCTGCATGGGACTGGACTAGACGCTCTGCATACAGGAGACAATTGTGTAGCTGCATCAGTCTGAGGAGTCCCTGGCAGTAGGATCAGTATCTATCCTTGGTGCATGAGCTGGCTTTCTGGATTCCATTACCTATGGTTGGATACCTTGCTTACCCCTGATATAGCGGGGAGGG